CCGGGCGGAGCGGGGGGTGTGAGGACGGCCAGACAAGGCCACCCTCGCAGGCTTGGCTAGTCCCTGGAGCGTCTGTGTCGCGGCACGAGATCCCTAACGGAAAGAATGCCCTTTGGGAAAAAATTAGACACGCATCCGTGCATCCTATCTGGTGGCCATCTTTGACAAACTTTAATGTGTATTATTTAATTATGTATTTTCCCTGCTTCATTGAGATAGAAGTGATACACGATATGAAGTGTAAGGTGTACAGTGTGACCTCATACAATGTATACATCGCAAAACGATCGCGGTAACACGGTGAGTCGATACCTTCACCGCCGCATGTAATTGCCTTTTTCCTGTGTGGTGACAACATTGAAGATGAGCGCTCTCAGCGGCTTTCAAGTATACGATACAGCGCTTCTAAAATTAGAATGACCATGTTTCCCATTATGTCCCCAGAACCGACTCCTCTTCCAACTGGAAGTTTGTACCTTCGACCAGTTATGTCTTCATTTTCCCCACCCCCCAGCGCCTGGTAACTACGGTTGTGCCCTCTGTTTCAACGAGTTCCGCTCCTTTGTGTCCCACAGCAGAGAGACCCCACAGTGTTTGCCTTTCTCCCTGTGCCCTCCTCCCGCCCCCTCCCCCCGTGTTGGAATCACCGGCCCCGTCCTACCCCCAGGCGTCCGGTGTGCAGTTATTTCTGTCGGGACTTCTTCTGGCTCATTCTTCCGACCATTTCCCTCCTGAGGGCATCCCCGTGAATCCTCGACTTGAAGACGACTTGCTCAAGGAGGTCTGCTAGGTCCCCAGGTATGTCGTTCTCCAGCTTGCTGCGCCCCAGTACCTTCTAGTTATGTACGGAGCACCCACTACAGGCCACGGCCCGTTCCCCGCGCTGGTGGAAAAGCCGAGAACAGGTGAAGACAAGGCTCTGTCGACATGGGGCTCCCATTTCAGCGGAGTGACGGACGCACACGTTAATTGGAGGTTTGCTTTGAGCACCTACACGTCCTATTTGATACTGTCAGTAGAGTGGGTGACAGTGACGATCTCCGTATTTACAGGCTCAGAGAGGTGAAACGATGTGGATCAGGTCATCGAGCAGGTGAGGGGCACGACAGGTCTCCCGTCTCATTCCGCGATGGCCTGCTACCTCTGGGCACGGGCCCGTGCATTTCTCACTGTTGTTCCGAGCTCTTGCTTCTCTTCCTGACCAGTGGTACCATCCACGGTTTGGAGGCACAGGCCTCTTACTCAGGCAAAGTAGTTCCTGGGAAATGCAGAACTCTCAAGTGCATTGACGTGGCAACACTGTCCTTTAGTCTGGATCCGTACCTTCAGAAAGGACGGAGGAGAAGGCAAATGTAAACACCTTGTTTTACCCGCGCTGGGTCTCCATCCCCGGTGTCTGATAGTAGCAGGCCATATGGAAAGAGGATTTGGGGCAATTTGGGACCACTTTCGATGCTGGAAAAGTATCCAAGGGAAAAGCCAGTGGGTGAAGAGAAAGAAAGGATTCCGGACCCTTAAAAGTCAGAATGCGTCTTTGCTGTTCTTCTCTGACTGAGTCCATTAGGGCATCTTTGTTCCGGGCTGTTTTCTCCGGCGACGAGACGCACATGTTACTGTACCGACGACGTAAGACCGTTAGCCTGTTTGATGCTTCCTTCCCTTCCCTCTTTTCTTTGTCCCTGTTTTCTTCATATTCGCCTTGGGGAGTGCATCCCTTGTATTATTCTGACAAAGGCGTGTAGTGACATTTTTAATGGGTTTAAAGCTGCTTGGGAAACAGCACAGAAGTGTATTGGAGGGGGGAGGGGAGGAAAAGAACTCGTGGGTGGAGGTTAGAAGGCGCTCAGGGGAGCGCATCTGAAGGACCGTTTCTGTTCATCATCACCTTCCTGGACTGTGCTGTCCACCCAGGACACGTGCCTCTGAACGTACGGACCAGAGTCCCGACACTGCGGACCGAAGGTCTAATTGCGGTTCTGTTCAGGGCTCTTCTGTGCCAAGTGGTGGCCCCTGGCCAGGTCAGGGTAACCGGGCATTTTCGCCCTCACAGCTTAAAAAAGAAAAGAAATAAGTGGCCAACATTAAAAATGCAGGTTATTTCACATAAAAATCAGGTTCTCTAGCTTTTTTTAATAAATATAATATTTTATTTTATTTTTTTCTTTATTTTTAGAGAGGGAGGAAGGGAGAGGGAGAGAGAGAGAAACATCAATGAGAGAGAACATTGATTGGCTGTCTCCTGCGTGCCCCCCACTGGGGGTTTTGGCCCACAACCTGGGCGTTTGCCCTGACTGGGAATCGAACCAGTGACCTCTTGGTGCAGGGTCAACGTCAACCACTGAGCCACACCGGCCAGGCTCTCTGGCTTTTCGTAAACAATCAGAAGCTGTGGCCACGTTGGGCTCCTCTGTGCCCATGTGAATAGCTGACCAAGGCCGGCTGGGGGCTGCTGCCCCATAGGCTGCTCCGGCCGCTCTACGTTGTACTGTGTTCCGGGCACTCTGTCCATTCCCCTTTGTCTGAGCCCTGCTGGGAGCTGAGATTGTGACCCCTGGTCCTCCCTGTAAGTGGCAGGTAGTGTGTGTATTGTGTGTGTGTGTAGGTCTGTGGGTGGAGGCAGGGGAAGGGATGTCTATAATTGCTGTACTTTAAAGAATACTCGATACTACAATGGTTTTGATTTCATTAGTTTGTTTGTTTTTATTTTGATCCCAATCATTATTTAGAGATTCCAGTGTCTTTGAAGGAAGGTCGTAGGTCTGTTATGTTTATCAAAAGCAGACACTGGGTCAAAGAACGGTTGTCTAAGAGCAGGTCCTGCCAGTTAGCGGGTCAGACCCTGGGTGGGGCGCCTCACTGCCAGGGTTAACCAGAGAACAGAAAGCATCGGCATGTGGAACCTGATGCGGAGACACAGCGAGACAGGCACGCTGGCTCTACGCCAGAGCGTGCGACCGCCGTGGGCTGCGTCGCCGGGGCTTGAGAGCCCCAGAATGTCAAGTTCGAGAGGCCCCGGTGCGGGGTTCGAAATTAAACAATCGTCCACCGCTGTTTCTGGGTGACAGTGTCTTCATCCTCTCTAGACCCCAGGTCGGCTTGTAAGTACGTAAAGGAATACCAGCCCTGGTCGTAGAGGAAACCAAAGGCCACTTCTTCCTCCTAGAGGATGGGTTGAGGGTACTTCCTCCTCTCCGAGAATTATGTTTCCCTAGCGGGTGGAAAAGGGATTTGTGGAAAACGCTGAGACCTTGCAGAATTACGTGTCAGGTGGGTGTGGTGGTGTCGCAGAGGAGGGGGAGCGGTGAGCACTGAATATTGGAGGCGTCCCCGGGAACGGAATGGCACTTGAGTGACAATGCATGAGTTCTTGGTTTTACAGTCTTTGTTGGGTTCGAACGGCTCGCTCATGAAAATCACAGTCAACCCCCTGTGGTGGTTTTTTCTAGTAACTTACTGACAGAGCCTCTGCTTCTTCTTTTCCTGCTTCTCACACAGCCCATGAAACCCAAGCCGGGCAGGTTTCAACCGGTTACGCGCACTGTGCCAAAGGTGCCGAACACTGCCATATGTCTGTGGATCCGGCCAACCGGAGGACGAGTCAGATGGCGAGGACGCTGTCCATTTTGATTGCCTTAATTGCAGAGACTGGGCTAGATAAAATAATGAACAGTGGTGTGGGTCGAACATTTGCCTGGTTTCCACGTTGTGTTGAGCAGTTCTTCGGCTGCGAGTGGTACTTGGGCACTCCAGCCGCGATTCCGATTTTCAGCAGGAGGTGCTGAGAGGGAAGGAGGGACATGTGTCTCAGAACAGTTAGGGTCTTCAAAATCTGCAAACAAATCAGCCTCTTCGTTTCCTGCCGACAGATACAGTGTACATCCCAATCAGAACTTTAAAAATATCCTGGGCGTATACTGTTGCCCATGTCCTTTAAAAATATGTAGAGGAATTAAATCTCTGTGGTGATTATAGATATCATGGATGTACACACACACACACACACACTACACTGTGCTTAGCCATGGAAACACATCGGTTTGCCTGTTGCCTGCGTGTGTGTAGCAGTCTCCCGTATTGATGGAATTCATTTCTGTTTCCTGTCTGAGGTGGAGCTGATCTTCCTCTTCATCTTCACCACCGATCAGCATCCCGCAGTCTCCCTCGCGGGCCGCTCTTCCGTGGCCCTCGTTGATTCAGCACAGTCGTGATCAGTATAAAACAGTCTTAGCTGTGCATGATTCTCCACAGGGAGGGGACGCGGGAGTGACATTTGACCGGTGACTTTGGAAGTGAGACATTCGCAAGGCATTGTGGGGAAGGGAGGTGAGGACAGTCTGGGTGCACTGGATGCTTTGTCCCCCTCTGAGCTGAGTGGCGGAGCCCCGCTGGTCTCTGACCCCTGAGCGTTTGGGGAAAGCAGTCACGTGGGGAACCTCTGTCACTGTAGCAAAGCAAAGGATGGGGGTTATGCTAAAAATCAAGAAATGGCTTTTTTGCTTTTTAATGATTAACCTTCTACTTTGCTGCTGCTTTTTTGAAAATAATTTTTCTTTATTGATTTTAGAGAGAGGATGGGAGAGGGAGAGAGAGATAGAAACCTCAATGAGAGAGAACATTGACTGGCCGCCTCCTGCACGCCCCCAGCTGGGAATCGGACCCACAACCTGGGCATGTGCCCTGACCGGGAATCGAACTGGTGACTTCCTGGTGCATGGGCCGACGCTCAACCGCTGAGCCACACCAGCCGGGCTCTACTTTGCTTCTTGACAAAAAAACCCCAAAAAACAATCAGCACCGTGGTAGCTAAGAGAGATGGATTGGTTCCCTGCCCATACTGGTGGCCATTCGCTGAAAGTGTGGGTTCTCGTGTGGATTCTCGTTCTCTTTGTTAGCAGATGGGCACGCGAGTCCTCCTCTCCCGCAGGGGAGGTGGCCCTGGTCTCCTGGCGCCTCGGCCCTCCTGGGGCCAGGCCTCAGGAGCTCCTCCTCTTGTTTTCCAGGATGTGTGAGACCGGAGAGGGGCTGTTCATCTTCCAGACGCGAGACGGGGAGGCCATCTACCAGAAGGTCCACTCCGCGGCCCTGGCCATCGCCGAGCAGCACGAGCACTTGCTCCAGAGCGTGAAGAACTCCATGGTACGTGGGGCCGTCCCCCTTCGCCCCGCTGGGCGCTGTGCCACCGCCGTCTGGCAGTCTCTGTGCATTTGGGCAGGTGGTTTCTTCTTGTCCTCAACCACGTCTTACTCAGACTAGATGTCATCCTGGGGCGTCTTACTCAGACTAGATGTCATCCTGGGACGGCCCCAAGTGGCCTGTGGCTAACACAGTGACCTCCTTGTCTCCTGTGCCTCTCAGTTACTTACTCCATGTGCCTTACTCGGCTTGGGCTCCTGGAACCAATGCCATGGACTAGGTAGCTTATACACAACAGCCATGTTTTTATTTATTTCTTACTAGCAGGCTGGGAAGTCCAAGACCAAGGCAGGCTCGGGGAGGACCCACGTCCTGGTTCACAGGTGACTGTCTGTTCTCTCTGTGTCACATGAGAGAAGGGGCGAGGGATCCCCTTTGGAGTCTCTTGATCGGGGCGCTCTGCCCTCAGCACCTAATCACGTCCCAGGGGCCGCACCTTCTCAGACCGTCCACTTCGAGGTTAAGATTTCACTGCATGAGTTTGGGGGGGGGGTGTAATAATTGAGTCCGTTGCAGCAAGGGCATACCGTGAGTGTGCATGATCACCTGGAGGAACAGCTATCGGGTCATCCACCTCTGGGTAGGTACTTCTAATTGTGTCAGAATGGTCATTTCCAGTGTCAACAGGGGTCAGAGGAAAAGGTGTGAGGGGGGAGGGGCTGAGAGGACACTGGAACGAAATCTCAAAGCCCAGCACCTGGTAACTGTTGACACGAGACTCTGGGCACCATGTGGGAGATGGCTTGACTGGTTTTTCTAGAGAAGCCAAGGATTTGAGTCCGGAGAGACTGTCTCCCCGTCTAAAACTGGTGAAAATTAATTCCACTTAAAACGGACAACAAAACCGTCATCATCTGTGGTCCAAAGAAAGGAAACCTGTCCGTAGACCCCATTTTACCCACAGGCAGGCACTGGCCGCGTCTGGTTGCTAAGCCTTCCTCGTCTGCCACGTGGAAACACATCCCAAACACGAATGCCCACGCGCATGCACACCCACGCTCTCGGGACACCGGTTTGTTGCATTGTCCTAGGAACCGGGAATCGTACAGAGAACTGGGAGTCTTGAGTTTCTTCTTTAAGAAGAATTCACTCACAAAATCCCCATCGAATGCAGAACAGTTAGACGATGCAGATCACGCACTGCGGCCACAGGCAGAGAGCAGCCCATCTGGAAGAAAATCTGCAGAACCCCAAGGAGCTGTGTCGGCGTGCTAAGATCAGGGTGGTTTGAAAATCGATGCTGGGAGCATGTGGGTGGTGGGATTTAAAGGGAGGAAGCGTACCAGTAACACGATCCGTCCCACGGCAGCCCTGGGTTACCCCCGAAAGACTTGCACACGCACCCCTCTGGGATTTCCGAGCGGGAATCAGCAAGACTTTGTGTGAAGGGCCAGGGCGTCACATTATAGGTTTTATAAACTAAGATGATCTCTATGGCAACTGCTCAGGTAAAGCCACCATAGGCAAAATGTCATCAAATGGGTGTGGCTCTGTTCCAAAAAAAAAACAAAACAAAAAATAAACACTTTAATTCAAATTTCGTGTAATTTTCACATGTCGTGAAATATTTCTCCCCCCAATCATTTAAAAATGTTCTTTTTGAACAAATGCAGACTTGGTGTCCATCTCCCCATATGCTGACCCAGTCTGGATATTGCAACAGAGATGGACACCTGGATGGATGAACAGATGACTGGCTGGCTGGACTGGATGGTGGATGGATGGATAGATAGTAGCTAGCTACTGTAAAGTTGAATTTAAGTCATTTTTAATTTACAGGGCAACATGTAATTGCATTAAAGTTGTACAGCTATCCATTAGCTGCCTTCAAACATCGGAGATTTTTCCAGGATTACCTTGTGCGTAAAGCCATCAATTAGCATAAATTGCTGTGTGCTTGGAAGGCGAGTTCTGCACACACGTGTTTTTCCGTTTGCAACCTTGTCATTATTTCTGCTAGAAATTAATCAGGACTGTGAGTCATTTGTTCAGATCATCCCCTTGCAAATTTAACCGGAAAATAACGCTGTTCACCCTTCATTTGCTGTGTGCCGAACGCGTTCTGTGAAAATGGATGTGGTTTTAAAGCCACAGTGTTCTGATTTAGATGGAAAAAGGAGTAAAGCTTCAAAATGGGTTCTGAATCTCAAGGGAGTGACGCTGGGGGTTGTGGAACGCTCGCAAGCAACGCACTGAATCCATTCCTGATCAGGGGAGAAAGAGATACTGAGGCAAAATGAAGCAAATGATGGCGACGGGACTGGCCACCCTCCCTGGGTTACGGTTTTGAGTTTTTGGTCATTGGACACGGTTCCACCCAGGGCTGGCTGTATTCTCAACTAGAAGTTGCCTTTTGGCCACTGTCAGCTTGCCTCCCTGGGACAGCCAAGGTCATCAATGGAGAGAGATGGCGAAGCTAACCTCTGGGCTTGGCCTCCTTATTAGGAAGCCCTCACCCCATGTTAGCTGACTTCATCCCTAGACAGAACCCTTCACTGTGGGACCCATGCCCGTTGGGCTTTGCAGCCTTGAGTGAATTGGTTTGGATCAAACATGTGGTCTTGTGCCCCCAAGGTCATAAAGAGGAGGCTTGTGGGTTGGAGAATAATAATAGCAAGTAGTGGTATTGGGGTTGGCTGAATAATGGCTCCCCAGTGACGTCCACATCCTAGTCCCTGGAGCCTGTGACTGTTACCTTACATGGCAAAAGGGACTTTGCCAGTGTGGTCCAGTTCAGGCTCTTGGGCTGAGAGGGCACCCTGGATTCTGCAGGGGGGCAGTGTAAATAGTGTGTGTGTATAGAGAAAAGCAGGAGGAGTCAGTCAGACGCGGTGATGGGACGTTGGAGCAGAGGGGCAGAGAGGGACCCTGGCAGATTCTATGCTGATGGTTTTGAGGGTGGAAGAAGGGGCTGTGACCCGAGGGAGATGGGTGGCCTCTGGAAATTGGAAAGGCAAGGGAACAGTCTCCCCCGGAACCTCGAGAAGGAACAGCCCTGCCGACACCTCGACTTCAACCCCGTGGAACCGAGTCTGAACTCCTGGCCCCTGGAGCTGGAAGAGAATGAGTCGGCGTTGTTTTAAGCCACCAGGTCGCGGTCATTTGTTACAACAGCCACGGGAAATGGATACGGTGGTAGCAGCAATAATAATGGGAATGTAGCAGACAGTATTTTAAGGACTCTCTGTGTGCTTTCTAGCCCTCATGACGGCCCTTGCATTGAAGGCCAAGGCCACCAGCTGGGAACCAGTGGGCTCGGATTCGGAGTGAGGTCACCCCCAAATCATGCTTTCTGTCTGAATCAAGCCCCTAACACGTGTCTTCTTCGCCCTGCAGTGGGACCCTTCTACTGCTCTTCCAGGAATTCCAAATCAGTGGCCAGCGTTCAAAAACTACGATTTCGCGTGAAACTCAGATTTCTGTATCATCTTGAGGCGTGAAAAGCCGGGTAAAGATGGTCCCACATCCCCACGCGGCAGCCAGCAGCTGTGCCCAGCGGTGTCCGCCCTGTAGGTGGAATGGGGTCTTCAGGCCTCCCAGTGTCTGCCTCACGTGGTGCTGGTCCTTCCCTGGGCCTTTATGCCCACGCTGTGGCCAACCGATGCCACAGGTTTTCGTTTTCTATTGCTGCGTAATAAAGCCCACAAACTGCGCGCCAGAAAGCACCTCCCTCCATCCAGTCTGTCCTGGTGCAGTGGGTCGGAGTTTGGGCTGAGCTGGGCTCCCAGCTGCAGTGTTTCACGGGGCGGCGAGGCAGGTGTGGGCAGGGCTCCCGTCCCATCCGAAGGTTAGACTGGGGAAGGATCCCCTTCCAAGCTATCATGGTCGCTGGCCGAATGCGATTCCTGGTGACTGTAGGATTGAGGGCCTCGGTTCCTTGTTGGCTGTGGAGTGGAGGCCATCCTTAGCGCTCAGCGGCCGTCCTCAGTTCCTTGTCACGTGTGCCACAGTCAGAGAAGGGGGCCACAAGGGGCATGGACACCTGAACGAGGAGATCAGGGGGCCACCTTACGGTCTGTCCCCACACTATGCCAACTTCTGGGACCATGTTTATTTAGTGCTTTGATTTTACCTTCTTGATACTTTTTCTGCTGTGTGGTGTTTTGCTAATACTATCATTCATTTATTGGACATCGGCTATGTGCCTGGCTTTTTAGTAATAATTGCCTCTATGAGGTATCAAGCCTCCTGTAAGATACCAGACGCTTGACTTGCTTTTTCTCTGATCTCCATACTATCTCTGCGAGGTAGATTCATTCATTCATTCATTCATTCATTCATTCATTCATTCTCACTCATTCGTTCATTCAAAAATGTCCGTTGAGGACATGAGATGTGCTGTTATGTGCTATGGGATACAGGGGTGATGGACAGGTGAGGCCCATGCTCCCCTAGGGCTTACAATTCAAGAGAATGTTATTCATGACTCCTGACCGGGAAGGTTCACTGTCCCTGTCATACAGATGGAAAAACGGATGCGCAGAGCGGCCGAGTCACCTACCTGCAGCCGTAGAGCTCATTCCTATTGGAGCCGGGACCACAGGGTCCTTGTCTCTGGTCCCCGAACCTCTCCCGGTGGCCACAGCGCCCCCTTGAGACTGCGAAAGCTCCTACATCCCTCTTATGTCCCGTCTCGGCATTTTCAAATTACCCTGAACACTTTTCAGAAACAGCAACTTAGAGGATATCTGAAAAAAAAAGAAAAAAATTACCGTTCCAGGAAATCTTTCTCTTTGTAGTTTTGGCACCAGAAAGGACTCTCACCATTTGCCCCAACTTCTTGCCTTTTAAACCCAGTGAGTATTGTCCCTCGCTCTGCAGGGGTGCTAGCTGAGGGCGGGGCCTGGGCCAGGGGCGGCCTCCTTGCTGGGGAGCTGCTGGGGACTGCAGCTCCGTGTGGGTGACAGTCTAATTCTGGAGCAAGGAGCGGCAGTGTGTGGGAT